GCTGAACCTAGGCTTCTACTGCCCCAGTATTCTCTTTGTAGTGGCAAAGCACTCCTCCAAGCATGATTTCCTTTGCCCTGGCTTCAAGACCCATTCCAGACTCAGAGGGGCTGGCCCTTCTTGTATTACTGGTAATAACTTTCTCGCTCTTATCCACCACACTATGAATTATGGGAACGTTCAGGATCCCCTCCAGTAGCTCCCAGAACCTTGGTACCCTAGGTAAAAGGCTGAGTCATGATCTCTGATACTTCTACTTCCAGGTGAAAAATGGATCTGGTAGCACAGTGCCTTAGGCATCTGACTGCTAACCAGAAAGTTGGAGGTTTAAGCCCACCAGCCACTCCATGGACACAAGACTGGGCGATCTACTTCTGTGAAGATTTACTGCCTTGGAAACCCAGTGGGGGTTGCTATGAGTCAGAATTGACTTGACAACAATGGTTTTTTTTTTTTTTTTTGATTGAATGAGTTCAAGTAGCAAGTTTAAAGCCTTCTTTTCCTCCTGGAAAGGAGTTCTGGTTGCTCAGTGTTAAGGCTTTTGGCTGCTAACTGAAAGGCTGGTTGTTCAAACTCACCAGCTGCTCTGCAGGAGAAAGATAAGACAGTCTGCTTCTGCAAAGATTTACAGTCTTGGAAAATCCTATGGGGGCAGTTCTGCTCTGTCCTGTAGGGTTGCTATGAGTCAGAATCAATTTGATGGTGGTGGGTTTAATTTGGTTTTGGTTTCCTTCTGGGTGAGAAGATGGAGAGTGATCATCTCTCCTCAATACATCTTTAAATGAATGAATAAATGTAATAAAAAACATCATGATCCTGAATATTTGTGTATGAATTTTCCTTTTTACAATTAGTTTCTGATTCTATTGTTAATGATTTTTGTTTAGGATCTCTAAAAGCATTTCATAACTGAAAATGAAGGAATAAGCCATTGTACATTTCTTCTTCCTCCATTCTCCTGGAGATAGAAGGAGAGTACATGAGATCAGTATCCTGACCTTTGTTCATCATTTATTTTTGTTATGGAGAAAGCCATTTTGGGTATTGTGAGCCTCCATTTTCCCTTCTGTAAAATGGGAACAATAATCTCATTGATTTCTTACCCAAGAGGTTTTTTTTTTTTGGGGGGGGGGAAATATAGTGCAATGATATAAAGTAAGGCTTCTCAGCCTTGACATTATTGATTTATTGAACCTGAGAATTCTTTGTTTTAGAAGGGGTCTCATCTTGCAGCATTCCTGATATCTACCCACTAGATCAACTCCAGTAGCAGCCTCCCCCAGTCAGTTTTAACAAAGAAAGACATCTCTAGATGTTGCCAAATGTCCCCTGTGGGGCAAAATTGCCCCTAGCTGAGCATCCTTGGTATAAGTGGATGAATTTAAGTTGCAAGCCACCCTAGAATTCAATGTGCTTTGTGAGGATTGGAGATTTAAACCTTTTTTAGAATTTAAATAAGTTAGACCAAGGAAGGCATCAAGCATCAACTTTCCCTTTGTTTGCACTGAGTTGTACCAATCAGGGAAATTTCATTGTATTAAAGAAGAAAAATGTATTAGACTAAATGATTACATCTAGACATTGAACTAAAATCTGATTAAAAGGTTTGTAAATGTATATTTTGTGTGTGTGTGTGTGGCAAAGCATGAAATTCTATTTGAATAGAATTTACAAAATTATGAGAGTTAGAACTATAGACAGATGTGGGCCAGCCTGGTTTATGAAGATACAAGCAAGATAATGAGGAGAAACATGCAGAACCTTTACTTCTTGTGTTCACAAGAGTGAGGTGTGCTAGGAATAGAGGGGTTTTAGTCAAGTGGAGGTCCAAGCTTTCTGCTATCATAGTGAAAAGACCCATTTAGAAGTGGGGTAAACCATTTTGGGAATCCTCTTGGAGGAGGACTGTGATGGAGATAGACAAGATTCGAGAAGACAAAGAGTAAGAACATGTGGAAGAGCTTGGGTAGTTCATATGGGAGGTCTATTAATCTGCTGTCTCTATTCCTGCTGGTCTAGTCATGGCTAGTGTAAATAAATTAAGGACTCGTGAATCCATTCTGTCACCCCTGGCATGCCATCTTAGAAGAAACTGTTGAAAGGAGAATATTTCTTCTGCTCTTTTCAGTATAAAGCATTGTCTCCCAATTGAAGACCAGAGGCTGGACTAATAAAACTGATTCTCACATGATGGATCCAAGTTCTTATCTTCAAATACATAATAGACTGAAAACCAACTGCTGTTGAGTTTATTCTTACTCATGGCGACCTCATGTGTGGCAGAGAACTGTGCTCTACAGGGCTTTTACTGGTTGATGTTTTGGGAACAGATCACCAGGCCTTTCTTCCGAGGTGCTTCAGGGTGGAGTTAAACCGCCATCCTTTCTGCTAGCAGCCAAGTGTGTTAACTTTTTGCACCACAATAGTGTGGTGTAATGTAATTTTCACTGAATGAAAAATGTATATGAAAACTGGGGGAAATGATGAATTTTTTGAAAATATTTTAAACAATGCACTCGTGTCGCTAATGCCATCAAGAATATGAATCTACTTTGGAACTGGACATTTTCTGAAAGAAAAAATACCATGGGTCCTGGATTCATTTTTCTCCTAAGAGATTCTTATGGTGCCACCTGCTGGCCAAATGCAATAGCGCATCTGTATGCTTTAGTTTCATATGTTGTTGTTAATGTGCCCTCGAGTCCGACCGACTCATAGCGACCCCTCCTTGGGTTTTCCGAGGCAGTATCACTACGGAAGTATGACGGTGTAATTATGACTCAGCTGAACTGCCAATTGTGTGGGCAAGGAAGCCAAGTAGACTTGGGATCAAATTCTGATCTGTCATTTATTAGCAAGTTGCATCTGCTAGCAAATTACTCCCAGTTTCCTTCTCTGTTTAATGAGGATAAAACTGTTTTTCAGGATTACGAGGGTCAATTGACACTTTGTTTGGAAAACATCAGCATGGTAGGAGGTACTGCAAAGTGGGAGCTATTATAAATTATTCTTTCTAAACACACTCACCCACTGCCATCAGGTCAATCCGATTAATAGCCACCCCCATTGGGTTTCCAAGGCTGTAAACGTTTACAGAAGTAGATTGCCTCACCTTCCTTCCTCAGAGCAGGTGGTGGGTGTGAATGGCTGACCTTTTGGTTGGCAGCCAAACATGGGAGCTCTGGTAGCATAGTGGCTAAGGCACTTGACTGCTAACCAGATGGCTGGCGGTTCAAACCCACTAGCCACTCCTCAGAAGGTCTGACTCAACAGCACATAACAACAACAACAACATACCACTAGAGCTCCTTTTGTAAACACAAGGAATCTTAAATATAAGCTACATATTCATTTCAGGCCATTTATAATATCAACAGGTAAAGATCTTTCACTCTTTCTGATCTCAATGAATCTTACTTCTGCAAAATAGCTCCAGGTTGAGTTAACTGAAATGTTGATGCATGATATTAAATAGGCCCAAAGTTCTATTCTTCTGGAATCTACATTTGCTATTGGGTTGAATATTTCAATTTACCCACAATGGATGTCTGATTTCTTTAAGAACTTGGACCTACAGGTGCAAGCCAGTTTTCATAAGGGAATCAGAATGAATAATAATAAAATAATAAAAAGAGGTGATGGCTTTATTTTGCATTATTAAATGACATCTGTTTAAAATGCATTCACAATGAGTTACTGTTTTCTGCTGATTTCTGACACTACATGTTTTAGTGTGATGTTTGGACCAGTGGACGGGAAAGAGCATTTACCAGATTCATTACCAGTGTAACCCAAGTTATAGTGGGCTGCTTAAAGCAATAACTTTTTAAAGAGGTTAGTTCCACTCAGTAAGGGGCACTGTTGTTGTTGTTATGTGCTGTTGAGTCGGACCAACTCATAGCGACCCCTCCTTGGGTTTCCAAGGAGGTATCTTTATGGAAGTAGATTGCCCAACCTTCCTTCTGAGGGGTGGTTAGCAGTCAAGTGCCTTAGGCACTACACTACCAGAGCTCCTGTAAGGGGCACTAGTGGTGAACAATTAAGCACTCAGCTGCTAACTCAAAGATTGTTGGTTCAAACCCACTTAACAGCTCCAAGGGAAAAAGACCTGGATATTTGCTTCTATAAAGATTATAGCCAAGAAAAGCCTATGGGGCAGTTCTACTCTGTCAAGTGTGTGGGTCACTATGAGTTGGAGTCAACTCAACAACACGTAACAACACCAGCATAACTTCTCACTATACTCTGAAATTGTTCTTGGTACGTCCTGATGGGAATTTGACAGTGTGCGGGGAGCATATTAGGGATTTTTGAAATCCATGGATTCCAGAGGATGTGGAAGGAATCATATTTTTCATTGTTCTTTTGTTAGCATCCAAGAAGTCTGCTATGAGCTGGTTCAAAGTGGGAATAAAAATCCTTAAACGGAGATATCAGGAAATGAAAAAACAAAACAAAACAAGGAAAGATATTCACAAAAGAGCACAGAGCTGTGGTAGGAGAACAGATTTTATTTATAAGCCTTATCATAGTTCATATTTTCAATTGAGGCTTGTAATTACACCACCAAATGTGAAACTAAAACATACAGATGTGCTATTGCATTTGGCCAGCAGGTGGCACCATAAGAATCTCCTATAAGAATGGGAGAGCGATGAAAGCAGGACTTAATAGAATTTTTCCTTTCAAGAGAAGTCCCATCCCAAGGTAGATTCATATTCTTGATGGCATTAGCAACACGAGTGCATTGTTTAAAATATTTTTACAAAATTCATCATTTTTCTCAGTTTTCATATACATTTTTCACTCAGTGAAATATTCCTGTAAAAGGGAAGAAAAAGCCTGGAGGATTAAAACAAAATTCTGTCATATATTTCTGATTTCTGGTGTTGCTGTTCTTTTAAATATTGCTTACTACCATTATAAGGGAAGCACATGTCCTTAATGATTATGATATATGCTATTGCCAGGCAATACTAGATGGTTAGAGAAGAAGTGACTTAGGTGGTCAGCCTGTTCTCACACTCCTTTTCTTCTTTGTATGGTAAGGATTTCTCATGCCCAAATATCTCCTCAGTGCTAAGCAACCTTTCCGACTCAGGAGGAACCCTGTGCCGGAGATAGCGGGCATTTCTGGCCTTTGCAAACAACTCTAAGTAGGTTGACTTTGTGGCCTCTGCTTTGACGTCTCCTACAGAGGCACATTCCTTGGGATTTGGGGGAATTTCTTTCACAGTGTCCTGGTCTGACTGTAGGTTGGCCTCTGTTGATCTGATTTCATCAACACATTGTGTTCCACTCTCATCAGCAGAGGTGGAGCCAGGATGTCCTCGGATGCTGGTGGAGACTTCTTGATCCTGACCTAGGATTGAGGTGCTCTTGTTGGAGTCTGTACCTTTAGGTGGGTTTATAGAATCTTTCTCTTGGGCTTGTAGCTTCTCTTCAGTGAAGCAAGTAGTTTTGTAATTTTGAGATAGTGATTGGCCTTTCCTTCTCATGTGGTCTTTGAGGCCAGTGGGATGGAAAGGAGGCATCTCGAACTTAGTTTTATATTTTTCTTGGGGCATATTGGTTGCCAATGCTCTGGGAAAGGAGGTAAAAGAAGAAAGATCTTTGAAAACCATTGGAGAGGCTCATATTTAGATCTTTCAAGTTATCAGACTGTGATCCCCTTCAATGTGGTATCAACTGAGGAAATAAAGTGGGTGAGAATGGGGTAAAGTTAGAATGGGTGGCAAGAATGTGGTGGAACATCTTTATTTAAGAGGGAGAAGCAGCATTTTCTCAGGGAGAGAAAGACAGTTTAAAAAGGTCAAATGAAAAGAGGAATTCAAGTCACACCCATGAGTTCAGTAAACATTCTTACATAAATTTATGAGGTTGTGAGGCTCTGTGCTTCTGCCCTCCCTGTGGTGAGAACACAAGGACATCTTCTCGTCTCTCCTGGATTCCATTCGCCAAATAAGAGGAAAACTTTTTTCTGATGATATCTGCTTTGAGTTAATGAAGAGGAGAAGAAAAAGAATGCTGGAAATTGGGTTTTAAGAGTCTCAATGTATGAAAACGCTATATTCACATTCCAGAGTAGGCTGAGTCTGCCATGATGGATGAAGACACGAAAACTTAAAACAGTTCCCAATGTTTATGTTGAACGTGTTAGAGAGGATTTAGTAACAATTAGAAATGAGGCTATAAACTGGCTAGGCCCATGGAGGTTTTGTTTGAATGTTTTTTTTTGGCAAGTATGGTGTTTTCAAAAACAAAATAACTGGGTGTAGTGATCCCCAGGGGAGCTCTGGTAGCACAGTGTCTAAGGCACTTGACTGCTAACCAAAAGTCTGGTGGTTCAAACCCACCAGCCACTCCTCGGAAGGAAGATGGGGCAATCTACTTCCGTAGTGATACTGCCTCGAAAACCCAAGGAGGGGTCGCTGTGAGCCAGGTCTGACTCGATGGCACATAACAACAACAACAGTGATCCCCAGAGACAGTGTCCTACTGTCTCACTCTCTACAATTATGTGACATCCTACTCCTCTGAGGAACTATGGTGGCACAGTGGTTAAAGCATTTGGCTGCTAACCAAAAGTTGGCAGTTCGAACCTGCCAGTCACTCCACGGGAAAAAGCTGAGGCAGCCTGCTTCCATAAGAATTTAAAGCCTTGGAAATGGGCAGTTCTACTCTGTCTTTCCAGGTCACCATGAGTCGGAATTGACCCAGTAGCAGTGGGTTTGGGTTTCCTACCCCTCTGTGGCATGGGTTTGAAACTGTTGGCCATAATTAAGCGCATTTCTCATTCTTTGACTTGGTTTTTCACTATGCAAGAGACCCAGCTGTGATAGAGGACCCAGGTAGTTTTTAAGGCATCTCATGAGTTGGTCATTTGAGGTGGAAAGACTTACACTAGTTTACTCTACTGGGAGTAAGTTTCCTAAATTTACACTGTGGTTAGTAGGCACCAGGAGGGGGAATATGACCAGACAACAGGCCTACAATTCACAGTAAACCCCTATTGCCCTCTCATCTGCTCACTCTTTGAGTCAGGGGCAGAGATGGGCCTTTGTGGGCTCTTCGTCCTTTGGCTTCTCCTTGGGTATAGGGAGTTCTCTTCTACATAAGAATCTCACCTCCTGCTTATGAGCTGAGGGGTACTGAGCTGCTTCTCTGAGCCAGGACACTATTCTTCACTTTAGACCAGCAGAGACAAAAGTTCAGAATTAAGCCTATATTTTTTCTGAAACTTGACCTTTCTCCAGTGTTCCCTTTGCAAATGAACCAATATGTTTGAGTTGTTTGAGTGCCCACTTTGTGCTAGACAATATACTCTTTTTTTTTTTTTT